GCTGCAGTGCGCTTCTGGTCTAGGATGATCTCCATCGGGGGAATGGCAGTTTCTCGATGGAGAGCTGGAATGGGGGTGGTCCGGTATACTGGGAGAGTACCTCGGAGAGCATCTCTGAGTACCCGGTCAAGGTGAGAGAGGGAGGAATCGACTTGATTTGATACGGAGCCCTGGTTCCTGGGCCTGGGTCTGTTTCGACCCGGCCACCAGGCCTCAGCCCCATAGCAAAGGACTGAGATGACACAGGTGATTGTAGCCTGCCGCAGTAGGTGTGCCCTAGTCCCTCTGACTGTGTTGGTTAGTGATCTGATACCAGCAGCTGTCTGTCTGGCCTTTGCAGCTAGGGTCCTGCAGTGTTTTCTAAAGCTCAACCTCCGGTCAAACCAGATGCCTAGCCAGCGCGTTGCACCGCCAGGAGGGGGAGGTGTGACTGTGTGTGCGCCTTGAGTGGAGTGAATAGAGCATGTGGGGTTGGGATGGTTGGTTCCACGTGTGAAGTGCTGCAGTTCTGTTTTGTTGAAGTCAAAAGTGAGGCCTTCTCTAGCTCCCCATTGCCTGAGCTCCTCTGTGCAGTGCTGGAGCGCTGTACAGTTTTCCTCCAAGGAGGGATAGTGCGCTTTAGTGGGCACAGTATAAACAACTGTACGTCGTGTTGTATCACGTGATGTCGAGTACCCGCTGTTTCTTGGGTAGCTCTGGAATGCTCCGGGAGTGCTCTGGGAGTAATTCAGTACTACTCCGGGAGCTCCCAGAGTAAGCTGGGACTCTTGAGGTGCGTGTCCCGGAGCATCGAAGGACGTTCCCTGATCACTCGGGGAGTAGTCACGTGAGACCCTCATAAAAGCGGCGGGACCCGTAATAGGAAATTCAGAGTCGCTCGCAGAAAAATGTTACAGTTATGCACTTTTAGTATAAATATTACTTACTTACTCAGGAAAATATTCCGAAAGAAGTTCAAAGAGACAAGAAGAATGCGAAGTGCACATTGCATGTATGCCCCTCTCTTGAGTGGCATTATGAGTACGAGTATCAAAGAAACTGTCAGAATCAAAATTGGTCTTCCCACTCAGAGCAGAAGAACATGCCAATGCTTCAGAAGGTTTTCTTCCACACTGAATGCAATCAGTGCCAGAGCCCTGGTGACAACTCGCTGTGCATGGTATGCCGGCACCTACAACTGGGACAGTTAGTGAGCGCATTTACACAGGTTCATGAGGCCATCTGAGTAGTTCAGTGCATATTTTTGTTGACCCGTTCGCACGATCTCTTTTGGTGATGAGGTACAGGTTCAGAATGAGGTTGGACCTGTTGGTGGTTTGGATCATTTTCTCTCAGTGGATGTGCACAGGAAGACCATATCATGTAAGCATTGCTTTCCTTCTTCACTGTCAAGAGGCATTTCTTTGAACAAGGCTTTCTGAATCTGAGATCATTCAGGCATGTACTTCTTGTAAATATCAGAGGCATGTTGTATCATGCTCTGTGAAGTCATTTCCTGCAATTTATTCGTCATAAGCCACATTCCACCATTGTATGACAAATTCTGCACACTTTTTTTTCAAGCTTTTTAGCGTTTCCGCTATAAAGTCGACATTGTTCCAGGACGAGGCCTTTATGGGATTCAGGATGACCCCCAATCTGCTTTGTTAGCTCTGTAATTTTCTTGTTAAGAGCTATAATTTCTTTATCACATTTGAAATTGGCTAGTCCAGCAGCATTGAGGCGCTGTGGAATGTTAGGGTCTTGATGATGAGCCATACTCTGCTCCATATCACAGCACTCATAATCCAGCTCCTGTCACGGGCTCGGAATAGTAGATATTAACAAACTGAATTCTTACCTAAACTATTGTAGCTATCGATGAGAATATCAAATCTGGGAAAGAAGAAGAAAAGGCAATCTGTCTGGGCGATGAACGGTCTTTATAGACATTTGTGTGGTGTAGCTTAAGCCCTTGTTTGCCCACATTGCTTGTATGGCGTCGTTTGACATGTTGACGCTGTTTGTCTGGCGTTAAGCCGTTGAGCTGTCACAAATAGAGTGTTTACTATACTGCCCACAGGTACTAATACTTTATCCTGATTTATTCCTTTTAAACCCTTTTGCCCCAGTTTTGCTGTTATTGACTAGGCCAGGATAGGCAGGCATTAAAGATAGTGAGGAACTCTATGAAACAATATGAAGTCAACCAAGACTATTCCTCAGCATGATAACAATTCTAGAGTGCTACTGAGGAAGACAATGGTGGACAGTGTCACGGGCTAGGAATAGAAGATAATAACGAACTGAATTCCTATCTTGACTATTGTAGCCATCAACGAGAATATCGAATCTGGGAAGGAAAAAGGAGAGGAAATCTATCTGGCGAGTGCAGTCTCTATATAAGCCTTTGTGCGATGCGGCTTGAGCCCTTGTTTGTCCATATTGCTTGTATGGCATCTTTTGGCATGTTGGCACTGTTTGCCTGGTCGTTGAGCCGTCACAGACAGCAATAATTATCATTGTGTATGACTGTCTTGTAAGATGAATGATGGATGATGGGGTGAGGCAGGAGGGAGAGATGAGATCAGTGGAAATAACTAAGCACTGGAGTGCCTGGAGTTGTTATATTATCTACAAAGATTTATGGTCTAGGGCTTTATCAAAGGATATAAAAAAAATGCAGGTCAGCCCTTTTCATGAGCCATTGGAAATCCCGGTAACTCGTGAACAGTTTGTTGACCAGAACTGTCCAGCTCTGCCACATAACTTTGACCGTGCAACTCGCTCGGTATGTCTGAAGACTGGACAAGGTGGGGTTGTGTCACTGGTCCTTTTGTGATGGGCGTTTCCTCTTGAGATGCTTGCTTCTGTGATCGGCGACGCATGAAACACCAAAGCAAGGCGAGAATGATTGCTAACCCAGCAACGCCACCAACTACGCCACCTGCGATAGCGCCCGTATTTGAAGTAGAAGGGCTAGTTGATTCATCGTATTCTGGTTCTGATGTAGCTGTGGCTGTGGATGTGCTGGATGTAGCTGTCAAAACTGTAGTCGATGTTGCGGCAGCGCCTAGTTATATCAGAACTGGACTCATACCGAGTAAGCAGGATATGAATCTTACCAGTAGAATATGTCGACAGAAACTGGTAGTCGGAATTTGTAGGAGCATCGGAATCATCTATACACCCAACCGCCAGCTTGTCACTGTGATAAAACCCCTTTGTCCCCGACAAACAACAGAAGAATCCGTCGTCCCGAGTGTTATTGAAAAGATCCCAGCTTTCATCAGCGCAGTGTGGTGGGTTTATGATATCCTCTGTACAGTCTTCTTCATCCGGACAACACACGCTTGAGTTTGTAAAGGTGGTGTCCTCGGGACAGCATGGTTGGATTCCGCTCCATGTTTCATTAGCGCTTACTTCATTTTCGAGGCAGGGGCTATTTTTGCGTAGTGCGAATCCATACGGTGGATCCAAGTCAGGCATGAGGGGGAAGAAAGAAATAAAATTAACAAAAGCTAATTAAGAGTAGAAGACGTGCGCGATGTATATTAGCTAGCGGGGGGAAACATAGGATAGAAAGAGTAATGATAAAGTTTGGAAAATGTTGGATTTTCAAGGTCAACAGAAGCGAGGAAAAGAAAAGCAGAAAGAAGAGAAAAGCTAGGGAAGTTGAAGAGAGTCATTCACTAATAAACAGACTTTGTGTTCGGCAAATATCACTCGCTTCCTTGTCGATCTGTTGCACATGATAGGTATAACACAAGAAATCAACGTAACAACTTGAGCCAAGATGAAGGTGTTGTGGTCTATGGGCACCCGGTTGGTGGTCACATCAAATGGTGGAGATATCAATCTGGAGATGATAGGATACGGCTGCTTGAACCTCCGTATTCCGCCCCGGACCCTTTATTGTATACGAGGTCGACCCCCAGTATTTTTCCTAGTGCGAACCCACAGCGGGCTTTGGGTACATACAATACACACATAGGTGACCTGACCTCCTTCGAAACCTCACATTACCGCGCTAAGTGGTCATGTGATCGACAGTAAATTTAATTCACGGGTAATGACAAGGTATTTAAAACGCACTCACCCCAGCGCCAAGGCTTGGACTCCCTAATGACACAGATGATCCCATCCTCCCCCCTGCCTGTTAGCTGGAGACTTCAATCTCAAACACCCAGCTTGGCAGTCCTCAGCCCGACCCTCCTTGAAAGCTAAACCCTTCCTCTGGTCTACTCTCAACGAGGAGTGCTTCCAAGAAGTGATCCAAGGAGAGAGGGAGCAATTGAATGAGGCAGTCTCTACCCTTCCTTCTCACCCTTCTCCTGCCCAACTGGATGAGCTCGCAGCCAACATCACTCAGGCGATCTCCACCGCTCTGGAAGCCTCCACAAAAAGGGCATACCTCCGGCCTAGCGGCCACAAATGGTGGAATCAGGAATGTGCCGGGGTAGTCAGGACCCTCTGCAGGGTTGTACGAAACCCGACATCCACACCAGAGGACATAGGAGAAGCCAAACAGACCTTCCACCGCGTGGTACGGCATAGCAAATGACAATTCTGGCATTCTAAAAAAATTGATGGATTCAAGGAACCAAAAGACATCTTCAATGCAGTGAAGTGGAACAGAACTGAGAGCTCCCTGCCCATCTCCCCTCTGAAGGAAGAGACCTGTGACGGCTCAACGGCTTAACGCCAGACAAACAGCGCCAACATGTCAAACGACGCCATACAAGCAATGTGGGCAAACAAGGGCTTAAGCCGCACCACACAAATGTCTATAAAGACCGCTCATCGCCCAGACAGATTGCCTTTTCTTCTTCTTTCCCAGATTCGATTCGATATTCTCGTTGATGGCTACAATAGTTTAGATAGGAATTCAGTTCGTTAGTATCTACTATTCCGGGCCCGTGACAAGACCGACTGCACATTTCCACAGATGACAAGGCAAGCTACCTAATTCATGCACTTTTGCAGAAGGCTTCATGCTCAGAGGACTTGGATCTCAACCTGGAACCTATCAACATTCCCCGCCTGCCTAGCCCAAGGTTGGCACCCTAACCCTTTCCGAGACACCTCGCTTGTAGCCATCCCAAAGCCCGGGAAGAGGGTCCGAAGCTCTTCTCGGCCCTACAGGTTGACCTGCAATAGAAACCGGATACCAGCCCACGGCAAAGCAACATGCCCCGGATCGTACTGAATAACCTGATCTCCGACCTCTTTGAAGACCTTGAGCCAGTGGACAACCTTGCTCAGCAGATCTCGAACAATGATCTTTTCACCTCGTTTCCCGGGAATTTTGATCTGCCACTTCTTGCGCACACATTCTTCGTGGGCTGCGTGAGCAGTTTCGCCGAGTTTATCAAGGACCTCCAACCGATCCTGGCCGTCGAAGGCGAGGAAGTTCTGGTCTTCTTCGTCCAATTTCGCTTTGGCGGACTCCCAAAGAGACTTGCGTTGGGTGCCCATGATGTAAGATGGGAAGGGAGTCCCCGGCCGATACAGTCGGGAAAATTGGGCTTGGAGAAGAGATGATTCTTTGAGGCATTTGGATTTGAGCTCAGGACGGCGTCGAATAAAGCGGTTAACCCATAGCTCACCGATGGTGGCTTCCTCAGGGGATTTCAGCCGTGCAGATAGGAGTAATTGGGCAAGATAGCGGAAATTTGATATTTGAAGAGGTAGGCCACGCTAATACATATCTAGAATCCATCTAGATAGAGTCTCTTGTCATGAAAGTGCTCCTGACTCCCATGGACGGGAATTGTAAGGGTCTACGGGTGAGCTGGACGAGGCCAGCTGGGATCTTAGAACCCCAGTCAATGGAGTGCGTCGACTGATTGAATATTAGAGAAATCATATTGATTAGTGTGTTGCAGAAACAAAGTTGAATCAGCTGTCACGGAGCATGAATGCTCACTAGTTGCACGGCATGCTTGACCACTTTGACTTGTTTGGACATAGGGCAAGAACCCCTTCGCACGAACTAGATAGCTCATCGCTGGCAGGCCCAGTTTCTTTCCTTTCTTTCCTCATGTTAGAATTTCGTCAGATAGTCTACCAAGAGTTTCCTATTGCTCGAGACCGTCACAGTATGGTGAGATATCCAAGGGAACTATGCTGTGGCATTATCGTGCGTAATGCCGGACTCTTTTGTATTTGTATTTAGGCGCATACGTATTTAGGTACACGTCTTTCATAGTCCCAAGGGCTTGATATGGACGTTCAACTTGATTAAATAATAATAATAGTAGTAGTAGTAGTAGTAGTAGTAGTAGTAGTAGTAGTAGTTAGTAGCCAGCATTTTGTCATTGAGTCGCTGTATACTTGCTATTACTCATATAGACACCTGAAGCGCCGAAGAAAATCCTTTGATGCTCACATTAAGTCCAGCTAGTGTACTAATAGAAAATGATAGCAGACACATAGAGCAGCTCAAGTCAACAAAAGCCAATGAAAGCCAAAAAATCAATCATCATGGCATATATACTTCATCTCGTAACCGGCAATCAAAAAACCATCACGATCATATGATAGACCTATTGACTGATATTTCAGACTTTTCCGGGGCAAGTAAGTGGTGGCCAAGAAGACCCTTTGCTGCCGCAAATTTTGTCATCACCGCCACCATGCTGCTTGAGGCACTGTAATGCGAAAGTATTCATTAGAAAACTGATTTAAAGAGGATTTATGTAGCAGAGCTCCTTACACTGGTGCCGTCTGCGCATGCACTAATTGTCTTGTTAGCGAGTAGGATCTGCAAAAAGAAAAGGGATCTTTAACTTACAAATTTATTCCAGCAACTTTGCAATCACCACCGTTACAATTCTGTCGATTTTCTCAAGTATTAGATCGTAAGCCGGTGTTAAGTAAAGCATAGAGAACCTACACCACAGACTGACCATCCATTGGGACAGTCACGCTGGACAAGCCCAGCATTCTCCCCAGCTGGCATGGCGCTGGTTATAGCGGCGGTGGCTATCAACGCAAGAATAACTTCTTTGAGTTGCATTTTGATAAAGAAGGGTTTCAGCCTAATGAATAGTGGATTGAGAAGGTAAACTGCAAGTGTATCTTTTGTTTTCCTGGGATGTTGAATAATGATAGAACTGAAAATAGGAGGGAATTTGAGGTCCTTATATAGACAAACTGAGGAGGGCAATGCAAGCTTGACCGTGCTCACTGTCGCGGCAATTTTGCGGCTCGCAGACAGAAGGATAAGCCCCTCAATCCTTCACATTCCTTCTATCCTACAGATATCCTGAACGGCGCCAGGGAGAGGGGAGATATCCTAACAGTGAGGCTGGTCCCAGGCGAAACAATTGGGCTTACAGTCAATCATTACCTTTCAAAGTAAATTTCTTTCACATCTGCTGAGTGAGACCAGTGATAATCGGGTACAGCTGGCAGGCCGACATGCTTGGGGCCAATGTTGTAGAGCATCCAATTAAAGATGTACGTGATTAATGGTTATAGTATGCTTTTACTTACCGCAGCAGAATAGAAAATTGATAACATAAGATAATCGAGGTCAGTCCGTATGAACAGTGAATGATTGAGACTGGGTAGTATTCAAGCAATGCCAATATTTCGCGAAGACGATTGATAAAGCGGAGTGAAAAATATGGCCACCTGGTGCATTATTTTCGAATTCTTTTTACTCTCGCCTGCGCCCAGCAAATTTGCGTAATGCGCACATCTACCTGGCCGCATTTTGCTGGCAAGAAGTGGGGAAACAAGAATCCCTCAAGGAGTTGATTGTTCAGCCTTGTAACACAGCTCATGTGAGAGACAGTCAGTTTCCTTTCTAAGGATCAGGAATTCGATTATGTTGTCAATCTAGGGTTCCCGAATGGGCGAAGTTGCTGACCATAGATTTTTCCCAGTCTTTTCTACATGACGAGAGATTTTATTGTGAAACATAGCTCACTCCGCAGGTACATAATGGAATACTGTCAACTACAATGCTCGGTAGGATGTCATAGGCACTATTCGAAGCGAATAGAGGAAGAACTCTGGTTGAGAAAACCGTCGATCATAAGACCTATTTATAAACAACCTGGCGGCCATCATCTAACTACAAAGAGAAAACGTTGCGAAAGAAGACAAAAGCAGCACGAAGTGCATAATGCAAACATGCGCTGGTCCATAGTCAAGGATGCTGGCTGCATAGCCGTAGTCCCCAGTCCTATCACCATCTAGTTGTATCCATCCATGCACATGTCAGGCTGTGTGTGTGTGTGTGTGTGTGTGTCCATTTTACGTCGAGGTTCGGGTCTTTTCACGCGTCCTTGGAGTCTTGGAGCCTCGGAAGCGGAAAGGCCCTGGTCCCGGTGCGGGACATACGACGGGCAGATCAGAATTGCCTGTCGCCTAGCTAAACTACCATCTATCATCTAAATACAGGTAGTCCCCCGCGCGGGGGGCTGCTTCGGTTTTCATGGCTGTCAACCACATGTCAAGCAGTACTTTCTGCAGAGGACTCGGGCTCTGATTGGTCAATCGGAGCGGCCAACATATCAAAACATCCCTTTTTATATTTAAACCATAGCTTTCCCGGGCTACTCTATAGGGACCTGCCGCCAATCGGCCTTTCGGCTAACAGATGCGAGAATGAATTAATAATAATAATAATAATAATAATAATAATGCATCAATGGTGGTGTACCAAGAAGATGGGGCTCTCAAAAATCAAAAACAATATGTTGGCTGAGGGCTGAATAGGGCAACATTACGTCATTGTACATCTCGGCTATTTAAGCCCAGCCGTGTTGTCGTATCTTTGTCCATGACCAGCCTGATTTACATTGCTACTACCAATTATGTCTGAATTATGTCTGGTGACCTTTCCACATTTCCGATAGAACCAATTCAAGAGTTCGTCGACGCCAATTCATTCCCTGATTTCGGGTCTTCATCCTTCCCTCTCTTTGCCTTAGGTCCGGTATCATACTCAGTTCTGAAGGATATTTCAGCAACAATCAACGAACAATCCCGTGCGGAGCTTGGCTTCAGCCCCAAAGAATACGATGAACTAGGCCCTGCCATTGACATCCCAGAAAAATGGGACCTGAATGACAAAAGCCTAAACGACGCCGTACACCACCATTTCTCTCTATTCAACCCGTATGAAAAACTTCCAACGGGAGATCCAAAGTGGTATCCTGTTGGTTTCGTGGCTGTTCTAAAGAAAGATTGGCGGGGTAAGGGGCTTCTGCTGACATATTTACAGAAGGAGGATGGGTATCTGGCGCTCAAGTCGTGTGTGGTGAAGACGGATGAACTTGGGGGGCAGTTGGTTTCGTTTAGGCAGGGGGATGCGGAGTTTGATTATGCTCGGGGGTTTATTGAGGCTTGATATAGACGGGTCATGGTCGAGGGAGGTAGTTTGTATAGCTGAACGTGGGAGTGCATGGTCCGATACTCTTTTCAATAATGCATTCTCAACTAACAGGCCAACGCACTAGCCACTGGGTTTCTATTGCATTATAGAGCTAGGAATAAATGCATTAGATTTATTCTATTTTCCTCCATGCTTGTCAATCATTCACTCCATCACCTTATGAAAGATTCACTGTGGTCCGTTCTTAGATTCCTATTACTCTCGAACATGTGACGGCTCAACGACCAGGCAAACAGTGCCAACATGCCAAAAGATGCCATACAAGCAATATGGACAAACAAGGGCTCAAGCCGCATCGCACAAA